AAACCGCCACAAAGAGGTCATTGTTAAGGCCATTTCTGCTGTCCTGCTGCTGCTGCTCAAGCACTTTAAGTTGAACCATGTCTACCAGGTACCCGCAGGGCTTTCCCTCCTGTCCTGTGGGCTGGGGCCTCTGGCACTGCTGCTCCTTCAGCCCACAAGAACGGGGGCCTTGGCCTTTGACCCGCTTGAACTCTGCATGAATGTTCTAAGACATGGCCCTCCAGCCAAGGCCTTTCATCCCTGGAGGAAAGAAGGCAAGGTCCCAAGGGCCTCGCCTTTTTTTTTTCTTCCCCTGTTGGCTTCAGTTTGAATACATGGCCCAGCACCTGGTGTTTGCCAACTGCATTCCTTTGATCCTAAAGTTCTTCAATCAAAACATCATGTCCTACATCACCGCTAAGAACAGGTGACGAGGGCCAGGGACCGTGAAGGGGCGGGTATGGTCAGACAGCAGAGTTCCCAGCTGGTATTTCCCACTGCCTCCGTTTTTCCAGCATCTACGAATCAGCGCTCTGCAAGGCATCAGGACACAAAGATAAATGAGACATGGCCCCTGCCTGTGGAGAGCCCAGTGTGTCAAATCTGAGTCTAGCTAGTCGTGCCCCAGGTGACTTGGCCTGTACCTGGGCAGGAGGGTTTTCATCCCGGGATCTAGTACTTTCTTCCCTGTCCCTTTTGTACTTTTTTTTTTTGAGGAGACCATGGGCTGCTTGCTCTCTGTAAGGGGCTCGGCCATGTGCCCTGTAATGCCCTATCTGCTGACTCTTAGCCCCTGCTGTTGACCTGGTGCCAGCTATAGTTGACATTACTTGCTCGTCAGTGTGATATACCACAGGGCGCTGGCCAGACCCTGTCTCCAGAAAGGCTTGGCGTCAATTAGTTGCCCTGAGCGATCTCCTCCCCCGCCCCGCATTGATGGCTATGGGGGAAGCTGTGAGGGTCTCTGCCCCTTACAAGATCAACCAGCTGGCCCTCTGGCTACAGGAGTGCCTTACAAGTTCCCTTGTAGCAGATATTTCCTCGTCTTATAGCTGGGGAAACGGGTGGGACAGACCAGGTAGATTCCTACTTCTGCTCCAACAAGTGAGGGAGGAAGGCTGGGAACTGGCTCAGGCACAGCTGCTCCACTAGGCCCTGGGCCTTTGCTCATGGTGGGCACCTGGATCCTCTCCCCTCTGCAGCATTTCTGTCCTGGATTACCCTCACTGCGTGGTGCATGAGCTGCCAGAGCTGACTGCGGAGAGTCTGGTGAGTGGCTGGGCTCTCCTCGGCTGTCCCTTTGGCACCTGGGTTAGTGAGTAGAGAGCCTGCCTACCCCAACACCACAGGAATAGAGGTGTCTCCCACAGGCGAAGTCACTGTGGAGTGCCCGGCTTTTAGAGCACTGTAAGTGTACAGAAGGGCCAGGAGGAGGGCTCTTGCAGAGCAGAGAGATTTGGATTTAGGGATTTGTCAGGGAGTGTGATCTTCAGGGGCTGCTGATCCAGAGCTCACCTCGTAGAGGGCTTCTCTCCCTCAACACTGGACTCAGCAGTAGGAGCCCTGGGGCAGCCCAAGGCCGCAGCTCCCAGTATCCCGGTTCATGTTTCCTTCAGGAAAAGTCTGGGGAGCCTCCCTCTTCCCCTAGTCCCTGCCAGCTTCTGGGACGGAGTCCTGGGGCTGCTCTGAGAGCAGGGGGTTCCTGGTAGAGGCCTGAAGACCCGGCTCTTCTAAGATCATGTGTGAGGGACTTTTGGAAACTGCTGCACACACTGCAGCCGTGAGGGCTGATTGTTCCTGGGTTTACCCTGCAGGAAGCAGGTGACAGTAACCAGTTTTGCTGGAGGAACCTCTTTTCTTGTATCAATCTGCTTCGGATCTTGAACAAGCTGACAAAGTGGAAGCATTCAAGGACAATGGTAAGTGAGTCAGTGCGTTCAGCAGGCTTGGAACTTGGAGCTCAAAGAAGAGTGCTGGGAGCAGGGAGTCCCTAGGGTGGGGCTCACTGTGCCTTCTCACTTAACTTTGCTGTAGCCATATCCTTGCATTTTATGGGCCAGTTCCCAGTTCCTTGATGACTTTGATGAGTTGAACTGGAAGCTGGAAGAGGCCCAGTCATGCACTAAAACAAATCTACACTTATAGAAGAGCTTTTTCCATGTCATCTTAATCTTGATTGGTTACATAACCAGGGTTCTGAGGGTCTTCCTTAACTCTGGGTCTGTGGATGCCTTTGGGGTGGGGAGGTCCTTAAATCCTCTGATAACTATGTGTACATGTACACAGGAATGTTTCTGGAAAGAATCCGTAGCTTTCTTCAGATTCCAAAGTGACCCTTAGTTAGGGTGACCAACCATCCTGGTTTGCCTGGAACTCTACTGGTTTTAGCATTTGAAGTCCAATGTATTAGGAAACGCTTCAGTCCAAGGGAAACTGGGAAGGTTTGTCACCTTAACTTCCAAAGGGTTAAGCAGCAGTGTGACCAGGGCTGTATGCATTTATTTCTGTCTTCAGCTTGGGCTGCTTGCTTGTTTCCCTTCCCAGATGCTGGTGGTGTTCAAGTCAGCCCCCATCTTGAAGCGGGCCCTAAAGGTGAAACAAGCCATGATGCAGCTCTACGTGCTGAAGCTGCTCAAGGTACAGACCAAATACTTGGGGCGGCAGTGGCGAAAGAGCAACATGAAGACCATGTCTGCCATCTACCAGAAGGTGCGGCATCGGCTCAATGACGACTGGGCCTACGGCAACGGTGAGGCTCTGCACTCAGTCACATTTGGGTGGGAGTGTGTCGGGAAAGGTGACATCTTCCACTCCCTGCCCGTGGTGCTCAGGTGCTTCTCTGCCCTGAGCTTCCCACCAAGGAACAGGAAGGAGCCCAGCTTCTGCTTTTGTAGGATCAGGATGGGCACTCTAGGAAGGACTTTGAGAAGCTACCCAGGCTTGGCATCTGCGATCATCCCCATCTCTCCCTGTACCTCCAAGTCATTCCTTTTCTAGAAATTGTCATAACACTATGTCCCCTCTTTTCATCCCCATTTTGGCCACCTAAACTTTTACAGCTCTTGACTGGCTTCCCTGCCTCTAGTTCCTTCCCCTCCATCAGTGTCTCAGATTTCCCTAGTGATCCTTTTTTACTTTAATTTTTTTCAAAGATGGGGCCTGTTTCAAAGATGGGGCTCTGTTGGCCCAGGCTGGAGTGTGGTCTCGGCTCACCATAACATCTGGCTCCTTAGTCTCCCGAGTAGCTGGACCACAGGCACATTCCACTGTGCCCACCTAATTGTATCTTTTTTGTAGAGACAGGGTTTCATCATGTTTCCTAGGGTGTTTTTTTGTTGCTTTTTTTGTTTTGAGACAGAGATTCTGTCACCCAGGCTGGTTTGCACTGGCACGGTCTCAGCTCACTGCAACCTCCGCCCCCCGAGTTTAAGCAATTCTCCCCCCTCAGCCTCCCAACTAGCTGGGACTACAGCTGGACTCCACCATGTCCAGCTAATTTTTATATTTTTTGTAGAGATGGGGTTTCACCATGTTAGCCAGGCTGGTCTCGAGTTCCTGGCCTCAAGTGATCCACCCGCCTCGGCCTCCCAAAGTGCTAGGATCACAGGTGTGAGCCACTCTGCCTATCCTTCTCAGGTGGTTCTTAAACTCCTGGGTTCAAGGGATCCACCTGCCTTGGCCTCCCAAAGTGTTGGGATTACAGGCATGAGCCACTGCGCCCGGCACCCTAGTGAATCTTTTCAACATGCAGCTTCTGTGCTGTTACCTCCCTGTGTAAAATCCTTCATTAGCTTCCTGTTTCCCTTAGAATTAGATTCAGACTCAAGCATGAGGCTCCCTTGTCCTTTTTCATTCTCCTCCTCTGTAATCTGACCCAGCTTCCTTTTCAACCTCGTTAACCTGCTGTCAGTCCAGCCTCCATCATACCCAGAGCTCCAGGCACGAGGAGTGCTTAGTCCCCTAACATAGCTGTGTGGTTCCCACTGCTAGGCCTCCACAGACGCTCTTTCTCCACCTGCAGGGTCTCCCCTGCCCGCCTGGGCTGCCCTGTGTGGGTGTGTTGCCACATTGTTGCGTTTCTGGAGTATACCACCATGGCTAAATGACTGTGTCTGTACTCTCAGTGCCTTGTGAATGTGTGCAGGCCCACGGTGGCACACGGTACCTGGTCAGGGAGTTGAGAGAGAATGAGCAAATGAGAGGATTTCCAGATTCCTCCCTCTGACCCCAGAGAGCTAGGGAGGTTGCCACTTTGAGAGAAATGTGTTGTACACATGGCTCTCCCTCTCTGGGTCTACATAATCTCTACAGTATAAGCCTCTTTGTCAGTACTTCTGTCTTTTCTGCTTGTACTTGACTCTCCTTTGGATCTAGGAAGGAATTCCTAGAGCTCGGAGGTATCCTGCTGCTAGTTGACACTCAATATTCCTGGCCAGGCCCCTGAGCTGCAGTGAGTCCATGGGGAGCTGCTACAGGGCGTGCCTCCTAACTGTGTTCTTCCTGCTTTGTCTCAGATCTTGATGCCCGGCCTTGGGATTTCCAGGCAGAGGAGTGTGCCCTCCGTGCCAACATTGAACGCTTCAACGCCCGGCGCTATGACCGGGCCCACAGCAACCCCGACTTCCTGCCAGTGGACAACTGCCTGCAGAGTGTCCTGGGCCAACGGGTGGACCTCCCTGAGGACTTTCAGATGAACTATGACCTCTGGTTAGAAAGGGAGGTCTTCTCCAAGCCCATTTCCTGGGAAGAGCTGCTGCAGTAAGGCTGTTGGTTAGGGGACTGAAACAGAGAGAGGAGGATCTCAAGGTACCTGCAGGACTGTCCTAGTTCATGGCTGCAGTGCTCCCATTCCCCACCAGGTGGCAGCACAGCCCCACTGTGTCTTCTGCAGTCTGTCCTGGGCTTGGATGAGCCCAGCTTTACCTCCTATTGGTTCCCAGGGTCCAGCTCAGAAGCAGTCATCTCTGCCTGGGATCCATTCTTCCTTTATTTCTCCCACCCTCCTCTCTTGGACATGGTTGGTTTTGGCTCATTTCACAATCAGCCCAAGGCTGGGAAAGCTGGAATGGGATGGGAACCCCTCCACAGCACATCTAAATTTCAGGGGTCATGCTGATGCCTCCTGAGACACACAAATCCTTGCTTTGTCAGCTTGCAAAGGAGGAGAGTTTAGGATTAGGGCCAGGGCCAAAAAAAAATACAACGGTGTCTTGGTTGTGCTCTGGGGTGGGGGTGGGGGGGTTTCTGTTGTTATTCCAGCCTCCTGCTATGTTATATGCAGAATAATTGCAGAGGCTCCTGCAGCTGCCTCAACACTTTGATTTTGGACAGGGACAAGGTAGGAAGAGAAGCTTCCCTTAACCAGAGGGGCCATTTTTCCTTTTGGCTTTGGAGGGCCTGTAAATACCTATATATAATTCTGTGTGTATTATCTTGTGTCATGTTGGGGTTTTTAATGTGTTTGTGTATTCTGTTTACATTAAAAATAAGCAAAAATCATTCCCGTTGGCTTGTCTACGGGAAATATGGCCTCTACATGTCTCCTCCAGGTCTAGAAAGTGTTTTTTTCTGCTAGCATTGCTGGTCACTGCTTGTCTTGCCAAGCTGCCTGCCTTTCCCATCCTGGGGGAAGAGAAGAGGGAGTTGGCATTTATCCAGTGTAAATTAACCCCACAGTAATCTGGGATTACTCTCACCCAACTCCAGGGCACTATCAAGGTTACTTTACTGAGACATTGTCCTGCACCCCTGGGTTTGCTGTAATTTCAGTAGGAGCCCCAGGTTTCTCTGGATCACATCACTGAGCTGGCCTCAGCCAAACCAGTGTCAGTGCTAGAGAGGGAGGGGCTAGGTCAAAGCAAGGGGGTCAGCTGCTCTAGGTCCTCCCTGGGGCAGGTGGTTGGGACTGAGCGGAAACTTCAGTACTCAGAGCGTAGGAAGCAGACTATCAGGAGTCAGGTTCATGGTGGGAAACAATGTTGCCAGGAGCCCCCTGTGGCTGAGAAAAAAGCAAGGAAAATCTTTGAAGTGGGTGTCAGTGGACACCTGGCACCTACACTCTGGCCTCCAGACCCCTGGTTGCGTGTGCCTGAGAAGATATTACCGTTTTGATGCTGGTAAAAGGAGTGTTCCCTTTTTAGAATTCCTGGAAGCTCTTATTTTACCTGTAGGCAGTTGTTTTATAGGTTCTTAAGTCTTGAAGGGGTCTTGACTTGTAAAGGAAACATGTTCTGGGGAGAATCTTCCCTTCGTTGGGTCTTGTGTTCAGTGCCTGCCTGACCTGGGACCTGCTGAGCCTCAGACAGGCCTTTTGATGTGCCAGCATGGTTAGGGACAGCAGGGGTGGAAGGCAGCAGTGTACTCCTGGTGGTCACACAGTCTGTGAGATGGGAAGTCGCATCTGTGACTGATGGGCCCTTTGCCCCAAAGTAACTTGTACAGGACAAGGGAATTGACACAGTTTATGTGTGGATGATGGATTTTCTGCTATTTCTTGCCAGGACTGGTAGGAAATATGTATCTTGAGATTTCAATTAGGGAGAGATGGATTTTTCACATTGGTACTGTCCCATGAAGCCTGAGTCACTGAACCTGCATGGTCAAGGCCTGTCTCTCCTCTGACCTGCAAAACAGAATGCAGGACTATCAAAACTGCAAGGGCCGTGAAGCCTGGGCAGGTGAATCCCTTCAGCTGTAGGCCCAGGAGCCAGCCCCGGGAGAGGAAGGGGCTTCTCACAGCCACAGAGCATGTTAGTGGCAGGTTGGCCATTTGAACTCAGGACTTTGTACAGAAATGTCTTTTGGAGCCACCCAGTTTTTGTGGCTTTTTAAATCTCATCTGGGTCATGAAGTGGGCAGAGTACATGAAGACCCTTTGTAAATGATTGAATTACATAAAATATTGTTTATTGCTAAGCAGACTCAGGGTCCACTCTTCAATCCACTGAGAGACAGACTACCCTGAGGCAGTATCACTGTAAGGATAGGAACTGTCCCTTATTAATCATAAGAGTTACCACTTATGGGTTGCCAAGTAGGTACCAGGCACAATATTAGATGCTTCTCAAAGCCTTATTTTCTACAAAGCCAGTAAATACTGAGTACTTACTATGTGCCAGCCAGCATTCTAACCACTTGATGTATAATATCTTACATATTCCTTATAATATCTTGAAAGATACATGCCATTTTAATCCCTATTTTGCACAGGAGAAAACTGTGGCACAGAAAGGATAAAGAACTTGCCCAAAGTCATATAAAGGCAAGAGCCAGGATTCAAATCCAGGCCTCTGTCAGCACATGCATTTTTTTCACTTCCTCACACCCTTTGCTATTAGTCATTGTCATACCCCAGCACTTACCACCAGTACTTACCACCAGTGCATTCATTTGCTCATTTATTCACCACAGCCAATACTTCTATTTGCTCTAGCATCATCCCTGGCATGAAAGATTCATGGTAAATGTCCATTGCTTTAGGTCCTAACTGGACCACCCAAGCTTAGCCTTGGGCTAGCCTCTGGTATTCCCTGAATGTGCCCTCCTCAGGGTAACTTGGCTGTTGCTGCTGTCTTTTTTTCTTTTCAGCCTGAGCCTAAATTTCTTTCTCTTCTGGGTCCCAGAGGACTCTTGTGTTGGCTGCCCTATCCAGACCTGTTAGGCTCATTTCCCAGAAAGCTGGCTTCTTGTCTGTCCTGGATGAGCTGACTTCTCAGAGGAGAATAGCTGTTACATTCATTCGGCACTTAGCACAGTCAGCCTCAGGAGCACCCTTTGGAAGTGAGACAGCCCTGACTTTCAGTTCGGGCTCTGACATTTATTCACTGAGAGACCTTGAACTAGTCAAGTTCCAAGTCTCAGCTGGCTCATCTGTAAAAACTGGTTTAATAATAGCCCTATTGCATGGACTGAGTAAGATCATGGAAATGAACCTACAGGTCTGGCTGACAAGGGATGACAATAAATGGTAGCAGTTCTTAGTCTTGGCAATGGCCCCTCCAACTCTAATGTTCTATGAATTTGCACCCATTTCCTGTGTCCCTAGAAGACAGAAATCCCCTTCAAGGACCAGAACCATGTCTTAGGCCTCCTTAAAGCCCCTGGACCTAGCTCGCTGCTCTGAATCCAGAGGCGTCTCAGAAGAGTCAGCTTCTCGTCCAGCAACCTGCCATCACACCTTGAAGGCCTGTTGGGGCCAGGCCCTGTGGTTGATGCCCTGGATATCCAGGTGACTAGGATACCACACTGTCTCACTTCTCTCGAGCTCACAGTTGATGGAGACACAGTCATAAGAGCAAGTAAAAGCAATAGCATGATAGGTAACAGACGTCTGAAGGGCTTACCTCAGGTCCCACTGGTCCCAGCCTCTTACTATTGGAGGAGAGATTGCTGGAGGAGCCAGCAGTCCCTGAGTGGGAAGGAAGGGGGCTCCAGCATCAGTATCAAGGGCTCTGACGGCTAACGCTTGATGCTCACCACCTTCCAGGTGAAAATGGCTGGGATGAGCCTGAGGAGGAGACTGGGGCAGGGGCAAGGTATGTCTTTCCTCTGCTGGATAAAGGAAATGTTAGGGTCTTCCCAGTTCCTGGCCATGCTAGACTCTTCCTGTCTGGAGCTGCAGAGGGTCTGCACTTTGGGATTGTAATTCAGGTTGAAGTGTAAATGGGAGAGGTGGGGAGGGAGGATTGAATGCCTCGTAGGAGAAGCATTTCCAGCTGCTGACTGAGGTGGGCAGACTGGACTGATGGGCCCCCTGGCTGTGGCCCTCTAGTCCTGACCTGGTGTCCGTGTTCCTGCCAGGACCAAGATTTAGGGCTCTGGCATCTTCTCTGGGGGAGAGAAGAGCCTCAGCAAAAGGAGCTGGGATTTCAGGAGGGGCCATTTCCCCTTTCCCTTCCCAGAAGGAGTGGCCAGAGCACAGGCTTGGCCTTAAGGAACCACTGGCCTGGGCGGAGGTCTGAGGTTACCTCTGGAGTGAGGCTGGGGACAGGGGTATCTGGAGATGGGGGCTGTGTCTTAGGGGTGTGTGGGAGGAGGAGGGACACAGCTAATGAGAAGCAGGTGGAAGGGCTGCATGCCCCAGCCAGGGGACAGGCTGGCTGGGATGGCCCAGTCAGTAGGAGGACCTGTCACCTCACAGACAATCCCACGGAACAGGCTCCGGGATGCCCATTCATATTCATTATGTGTGAAGTGGGCGGTTGTAAAGTTAGCTTTCTCTTCATTTAGCTGTCACTGGACAGAAAAATATGAGCTGTGGGCAGATGCCCCTGGATGAGAGCCAGTAGCCAGTCTCTGGCCTCCCTGTACCCTCCCCTAGGAGCCCCCCATCCCACCATGGGTCCCCTCCTGGCCTCTGCCAGCCTCTGCCAGCTTCTCCCACTCTTGCTTCATTGACCTCTGGCTCACCTTTATTTTTTCTCCTGTCTCCCACTTTTGGTTTCTTTGTTTGGGTTTATCACAGATCCTTTCCTCTTCCCTCCTTTCATCTTTCTAAGCCCTCTTGAGACAGAAAAAATGATATTTTTCCACAACCATCGCTCTATCTCTGGCACCCAGCACATTGCCAGGCTGAGTTGGTACTCAAAATGTTTGTAGAACAAACTACTCTTTCTACATCTGACTTTGTGGGGAAGAAGGTCCAAAACTTTGCTGATCACTCCTTGGATGAAGAAACTTCTCATACAGCGGTGTGAGCCCTGAAGTCAGAATGGTGGGCTTGAGCCCCAATTTCATTACTGCCTGGCCAGGTGAAAGAGATTCTGTTCATCAGTGGCAGCCAGGGATGTCTCTCCTTCCTACCCTGACTCTCCTCTTTCTGCTGGATCCCCTCCCGGATACAGGGCTCACACCTGTGGACCTCAGAGCCAGCGTCAGGACCGAGAGGAAAGAAATCACCAAAAGTCAGACCCTTGTATAGAGGGAAGGGGAAGGAAGGGAGGGAAGACAGACTCCTCTGGGGATACATGCAACTGTCTTGGCTGGGAAATCTGATCTGGTGGGGGACTCACCCCCTCCTCTGGAATCAGCTCAGCCCTGATGTGTCTTTGTGGGCTTGGGTTTCTCTGTGCCTGAAAGATGAGGCGTGGGGTGGGGGTGGCTGGGCTGCTGGCAGAGGCTGAATTCTGAGCAATGTGGTTGTGTTTACTGGGAGGGTGGGAGGGCCAGACCTTTTTCCTGCCTTCCAGGCTTCGGAGATAAGGCAGAAAGTGGGGATGAAGGATAGAATGGGTAATACTCTGAAACTACAAGAAAGAGTTCTGGCTTTTGTCTCTGCGCCACAGCTCAGACATGTTCCTGGGGCATCTGGAAGGAAGCCACCCCACTCCCACCACCCTGGGGTCCCAGCCCATGGGGAGCACAGAACCTCAGTGGGCACCCCTTTCTTCCATTCTACCTCCCGTCCGTTGTCAGTTTAGCCACAAAGTTATTTCAGCTTTTTCGCTACCCTTCCCACCCTCAGTTTTCCCTGCCACATGCACCCAGTCCTAAAACTGAGCTTTTCTCCCTGCCTCCCAGCACAGCCAAAACCACAGAGACCCTAGGCAGGTGACAGGGCCCGGCCTGGCATGCATCGGCCTTGAGGGCTCTGCTGCAGGACCACCTTCCCCTTCCTTGCCGGCCCCTCAGGGGTCCTGGCCCAGCCTGCATCCTGGACACAGACCAGCCCCAAAGCAACCAGTGTCCAGCCCTGGGGATAGACAGTCACCTGGTATAAAAAACACCACCACCTTTATTAGAATGCTGGGCAGCATTTTTTTTTCTCTCTCTCTCTCTTTCCCTTTTCTTTCTTTCTTTTTTTACAGCGTGTCTTTACAAAAATGGGGATCAGGATCTCAGTCTGTGGAAATCTATTTTATTCTGACCAACATCCAGTATCATTTCCATGGCATAGCTCTGGGCTGGTCCCATGGAAGAGATTCCAAATATGTGATGATTTCTGGTGGAATTTCTGCCCCCTTAGAGGGGAAGATGACTGCATGGCATGCTGGGAGTGCAGGCACAGGGCAGGAGTGAAGGTGGCTGGAGCTGAGGAGCCAGTGTGCCTTAGTCTATGCTGACCTTGGTGTTCACGCCCTCCTTAGTGTCAGATGCCAGCGCGCCCCCTGCTGGTGGGGAGGGGAAGCAGGGCTGACTCTACCCCATCACGGGAGACTCCATTTTGGTTTCCATCTCATCATGAAGAGCTCCCCTAGTCCACTCTGCGTTCTCCTCCCATTTTCCTGGGTTCCCTGAACGATAAGCCAAGTAAGCTGTCTTAGCTGGAGAGATGACAACAGACTTGGACAAAGTCTGGAGGCAGCAGGGCAGTGTCTCCCTGCCTCCAGCCCAGAGTTCAGGTGAGGGGACTCAGTTGGTGGTAGGAAGAGTCCTGGCTGCTTTGAAGCCCCTTCTCCAAGGCAGCCCCACCTTATTCTAAGAGAAAAGACCCTGTAACGTGTTCCCTGCTTGGGGCTGACAGTGCCAGCTGTTCCCACAGGCCTCCAGAACCATCTGGGGCTTGGAGGCAGAGGTCCTTCCTCCCTGGTGTCCAGGCAGGGGTGGGCTGGGAATGGAAAAGGAGGTGGGCAGCTCATTCTGCAGGTCCATGCTACCGATCACGTGGTCCAGTTCAGAAGGCCAGGTGGCTCCTTGGGCTTTACCCTGAGTGAGACGAGGCTTGGAGACTTATAGTCGCCCTCTGAGGAGGGCTCAAAGCTGTGGCCCCCCAGGGTGGGGGGAAAGCCGTGGATGGAGTAGATGCCAGGGTGAGCCACAGAGGAGGCTGGCACCCCCATGAAGCCAGTCACACTCCCATGGGGGTGGGAATATGGAGACATGCATGGGGAGGGGATGCCCTCTGGAGACACAAGGCAGGGGCCCCCAGGGCTCCCGGATCCTGGACTGGCCCACAGGGAGTTCTGCAGCTGAAAAGAGAGGGAAAGAAGGCCCATGAGCCGGCAGCCTCAGGAGCTGACTTCCTTACCCAGGGGCTTTCTCTTTGTCCTTGGGGCCCCAGAAACTTTCCAGGAAACCTCCACTTGGCTCAGATCTACCCCCTCCCACCCCCAACACTGGCAGTGGCATCTCAGGAGGCTCCTGCCACTGTTCTCAAAATGAAATTTTCTTCTGTGATTCCTTTGTGTTCCGCATGCGTCATTCAGGAGACAGGCAAGAGCCCCGGTTTGCAGAGGAAGAAGTGAAGTGGTATACCCACCGTCATACAGAACCCTGACGCTCTCCAGGTCTCTTCAGGCCAGAGCTCATATTCTTTTTGGTGACCCTGCCAGGCCCTGGCTCAGGTAGGGCTGGGGTCTTACCTGAGGGTGGCTGTCAGTGCGGGGCAGCACAGAGATGTCATAGGCAGCGGTGAAGGGGTTCCGCCCCTCCTGCATCTTCCCATAACGCTCGCGCTTCCGCCACTTGGCTCTGCGGTTCTGGAACCAGACCTGGGGCAGGTTGGTGGGGGTGATAGGGCAGCCTTGAGGAGAGGAGCCTGCTAGGGATAGTTGATGGTTGTGTCCTCTTGTGGGATGGGGAGCAGGCTCCAGGATGGAGGATCTCAACTGTTAATCCACACTGTTATCCAGGCCAGGGAAGCCTGGGAGGAAGCCTGGGAGAGGCCCAAACCCAAAGCGGGTTAATTGGCCCCATGGGCCTTCAGCTACCACTCTCTAGGTCGAGTCACTCTGGTCCTCCAGCCTGGTGTCTAGTAAGGGTGTTGTGGGGGCGTCTGTGCGCCTCAGGGGCCCTAGGTACTTCCTGGGTATACTGTGCACATGTTTTGGGTTTCTAGTCTCCCTGCCTCATCTCCTTTTCCAAGCTACCCACCTCATAGCATCCAAGGAATCTTAGACATTTCTGTTCAGGTCATGGTCCTGTTTAAACCCTCAGTGATTCCCCAGAGACCTTGGTCCAGAGCATAGCTTCTTAATAAGGCCCCTGCCTCTCTGCACAGCCTCATGTCCTGCCAGGCAAACACATCAGGTTCTTCCTGGTTGCCTCCCAAGCTCCCACCCAGCTCTTCCAAAACACACTGCTATCTTGCTCCTTCCATCTTTTGCTTAGGTTTTCTCTTCCTGGACTACTCATCCCCTCAACATATACATCCATGCTGGGCATCCTCCACAGGACTTCCAAAATACCCTGGACCTTTCTTTGTACTCACCCCATTCCATTACCATGATCTGTTTTGGAATCTGTTTCTCCCATTTATTTGTGAGCCCTTGGCAGATAGGGGTGGCACATCTGTGTGTTGTGCACATCTGTGTACATATCTATGATGAATTTGTTGTTTGGTATATGTGCTGTGACTGTTACATTTAAGTGTATTGGTATATATGTTTTATATTTCTATCATTTAATCAACATTCATGTGTCAGGCTCTAAGCTAAATTTAACAATGTCAAAATAAAACCAGCCAAACAAAAACAACCCGTGCTTTCCAGGGATATCTAGCTGGGAGTCACAATAGAAGCTGTGTGTGTGTGTGTCAGTAATCCGTCTACCCCAGCTGGGATGAGAAATCCCACCCCAGCCTCTCAGGCTCCCTGCCCCTGTGGTCATTCCTACTCATGCAGGCAGGTAAGGCACCAACAGTGAAGGGGCTGTGCATACCCCATCCTCCTAGCTCCCAGGTTGCCAAGATAACAGAGCAGGCCTGCAGCAAGGTCAGCAAAAGGCCACCCCCACCTGCCCAGCTGCCTGGATTTCCTTTCTCTGCTCTCCCTCCCCTGTGGGAGGATGAGGGAGCCTGGAGCCAGTGAATCTGGCTATTGGGACTTACTTTTCTGTCACCACCCATTCTCCCCTGGGGATCCCACTGTAGGCCTCCCCTGGGCTCTGGACCTGCCCTCTGCATTGTCTAGTGTGTAGTCTCATTCTTCCTTTCCATGGGGCAGGGTGTATGGGTGGGTTTCATGCTCCTGCCAGAGAAAACATTCCTACTCTAGGGTCTCCGTCCTTCAGGGAGCTTCTAGACTAGGGCTGAGGGCCTTGTGGCTACTCCTGCACCCTCTCAGGTTGAAAAGGCCTAGGTGAGGAGCAGAGGAAGTGCTCTCCACCTCCCACAAACACTTGCTTCGGGAAGAGCTGGTTAGACCACACCCCGGAGGCCTGCTGAGGTAACTCCATGGTCCATTCCCATGGCTTATATCATGTGGGGTTGCCTTGAATGCTGGGCCTTTTGCCCTGATGACCTCAGCCCCTGAGGGTCTTGGGGGACAGTCTTGGAAGTCTGTTTTGGCTGCCACCTGGGAGGAGCAGGGAGGCAGGAGGACTCAGCAGAGAAGGGGAAATAGCCCAAGTCTCTCTCATCTTGTTGGATGCAGCTGTAGGGCCTTCTCTGTTAAATGACAGCACCTGGCCTCTTTACAGACTGGCCCGCCAGTCCCCATATCCTGCCAGGACTGTCTCCTGCCCTAGTGCCTTCACAAAGAGTATCTGGAAGGGCCCATGCAGGGTAAGATAGCATGAGCTTTGTTCCTGCTAAGTCTCCTCCATGGTGGGAGAGAGACTCCTCCGCCTAAGAGGTCACCTCCTCACCTTTCCCCAGAACTCCAACCCACCCCTCCCAGTGCCTCCTGCTTGGCATCGGGAAGCCTGCTATGACTGAGCCGGTTCAATGCAAGCCAGTGAATGGCCATCTTCCTCTTGGGCCAGACTCTTATTGAAACTCCTTCCCCATCCCCAGCCTGCCTGCCACCTTCATGTGCTTTGACACTTCCAACATGCTTGGATGTGGGCTTCCCTTGCCTTCCTCCCTTCTCAGCATTTACCCACCCACAGGCTGGGCTCCCCTCATGTAAAACTGGCCACAGCCCCTCTGGGAAGCCCTGGTGCCTAGTCTCCATGGGGGAGTTTGTTAGGGTGGGGAAGGGCTCCCAGTCAGCCTTTCCCAGCCAGGGTCTGAGCGCTGGCAGGGACCCAAAGTCGGTGGCTCCTGACGACTTTGAGAATCACTGACCCTGAGACCTCCCGACAGGAGGCTGAGACCTCCCATTCTAGGCAGCCACCTCAGGAGCAGCCCTGATGTGTATTCAGCACTTCACCGCTTCCAAAATGTGGCCATCCCTGTGATCCCCAAGGTAGTCCCTACGCAGCCAGTCCCATCATTCCCTTTTCCTGAACTGGGAAACAGACTGAGAGATTCATTAACATACCCCAAATCACCTCCAGTAAGTGGCAGAGTTAGGACTCCCACACGGGTGATGGCTCCCAGAGGCCATCGCCCTTACACCCAAGCATAAGCCTCAGTTTGGGCCAGAAGAGCCTGTGGCTGCAGCAGAGCTGGACGTGAGGGTGAGCCAGGAGGGGAAGGCTGAGGCAGGCCCCTGGGAAAGGTAGCTCTGGGAGGCACCAGTGCCCACCTCTCCCAGCCCTTCCAGGGTCTGGTCACTGTGTGGTAGAGGCAGCCAGAAAGCCCCATCCCCGCAGCGCCCTCACCTGTACCCGGGCCTCGGTCAGGTCTGTGCGCAAAGCCAGCTGCTCCCGGGCGTACACATCAGGATAGTGGGTTTTCTGGAAGACCTTCTCCAGCTCCTCCAGCTGGAATGTGCTGAAGGTCGTGCGGTTACGGCGCTTCTTGCTCTTGTTCTTGGCCAACTCCATGGAGTCAGGGAGTCCCGGGGAAAGAGGAAGACGCAGGCTGGCCAGGCAGGGGCCTGGGGAGCCTTGCAAGTTAGAGGGCCCGTCTCTGGGGCCCCCTCGGCAGTCCAAGGGCAGCTGGGGGAAGCTGGCAGCTTTGGAGGCCTTCTCCTCAGCTGCAATGGAGAACACAAAAAGGAGGATGGCAACTGAACCAGGGGCTTTTGTGGGTTGGAATGGAGGGAGGGGGAAGAACATTGACGCCTCAGTCTCCGCCTCCCCCTTCCTTTCCCTTCCCGTCCTCCCAGGCGGCCACCCTCCATGGGAGCCTGGCATTTAGAGGCCTGCCTGCTGAGCCTCCAGCTGGGGAGGGGGCCCTGGGGAACTATGTGCTCTGTGGTCTGGGCGGATCTGCTGGGGCCAGAGTGGGGTTCATTTCGGGGAAGTGCTCTGTGGTAGTGCGTTCCATAGGGACGGGAGAGGACTGGCGCCGCAGCAGGACCACCACCCTGGGAAGGCCAAGCATGGGGGCAGAGGGCGGGGTGAGGATGGGATGGTTGACATCTCCCGCTCCTGCCAGAAAGTGCTTCCTTGCTCCTAACTCTGCAGGCCTTGGTTCCCAGGCCCTTATGCCCACACCACTGCTCCCAGAGCCAGGCAGGCAGTGGACATGGGTGCTCAGACCACCTTTGGCTGGTCTGGCTGAACTTTATTCTCTGAACCCCCCGGTCTCAGGTCAATATCAAATTCCCCAGCTCTGGTGTAAGAAGGGCAAGATGGGACAAAGAAGCTTCCAGAGGGATTGCCTCTCTCCATTCCTCCTAAAATTGTAGTGTCTGGGCAAGGACTTAAGCTCCATCTATAGAGAAGCAGAGCTGAGATAGGCTGTGCTCAAAGAAGGAGAGTTGGGGACCAGTGTCACAACAGGGCACAGCCCCCTGTCCCCATCATTCCCATCATTGCCCACCCCCTCCTTCCTCAGGAGTTTCTGACTGCTCCCGAATTGCCTGTGTTTAACAGGCAGGGAAGGACTTGATTGCAGACTGGAACAGTTTCCAGCAGCCCCACTCTGACGTGCTAACCCTCACTCCAGAAACTTGGCGGAGCCTCACCATGGCGGATCCACCGACGAAGCATGGTGAAAAATAGGTCACCCTGATTGCCCACGCCCTCTCCCTCTGGCGAGGACCCCTAGCAGCGTCCCCATGAAATCCCTCCTCAACAGTCCACTGGGATGGCAGCTGAGACGCCACAAAGACGCCCCACTGACTCACACAGCCTCTTGCCTGGCTCTGGGCCCATCTCCAGTGGAGGCCTGGCCCTGAGGAGACCCAGCTAGCTGGCACAAGAGGCAGTTTCTTCCCAGGACTTGGTGTCGGGATCACAGCTGTGGTTGGGGGAGGATGGGACTGGAGGAATGGGCCTCTCAGGATCTGGGTCTGATGAGTCCCTGTCTGCACTGCGAAGGACAAATCAGGCAGGGTCCCCCTCAGCTGGAAGGTGGTCAGTTACTTTCCAGGACTACCCAGGCCATGAAATAAGCTCCAGTGTGTGTCCTGGAGGTCCTGGAGGACTGGGAGAGTCAGGCAGGGCTACCTAGCCTTAGACCATGCCCAGCCTGTACACAGGTAGCCCATCCTTCACAACTCAGATGTTCCAGTCCCCTGACTTCCGTTCTTCGGCCAGCACATTTCCGGTTTAGGGGCAGTTCCATTTGATAGAAGCTTAGGAAGGAAGACTCACAGAAGTTGAACAAAATATTTGAAAATGATCAGGAAGACTAGGGACACTGGAATGGGAAATCTGCCCCCGATCCCCGCCGCCGCCACCACCACCACACACAAACACACAGCAGGCCACGGAAATGTTCAGGCTGAGAAGGAAGAGTCTTGGTGTCTTGGGTTCGTAGGGAGGCTGTGCTGGACTCCAGGCAGAAAAGGGGTGAGGGTAGCTCAGGGCTGAGGGTCAGGGCTGGGGTTCAAGAGTACTGACATCCCAGCAGAGGCCCTCCAAAGCCCTGGGGCTTTCTCTTCTGCCTCTTGGGTCTCAATAGGACCTGCCCAGAGGAAGTGACCAGATCTGGGGCCCTGGGACTTGTGTTCCTGACCTTGAGCCACCAAGCTGCCAGGGACAAGGGATGAAAGTGCAGTAGGACTTCTCAGAACAGCTTCCCCAAGGAAAAGGCCAAGCCTGCTGACCTTTACCCAACTCCCACGCCTTCCCAGTCTACAGCCCTCTCAGGGGACCACAGAACTGCTCTCTCCCTCATTGTCATTGCCCTGAAATCTCCTTCATCTACCTGGAGGACAAAAGAGGGAGGGTGGCATCCCCCCACTTTGGAAGAGAGGGACACTCCTCAGAGAATACAGAGCAGCCTCCTGAGGAGCAAGGCCCAGAAGAGGAAAGGGATAGAACTGGGATAAATGGAAGGCGGAAGCCAGGAAAGACAGGCCAGGAATAGCAGCCAGCAGCTTGAACCTAAGCTTGTAAAGGAGAGAGGGCTGCTCTGCTGAGGATGGGGCACATATGAGGTGTGTATGGGCTGTGCAGAGGAGTCACTGCACCTGATCCAGACACTGGGTGGTTAAGGTGGGGTACTACATGTTGGAGACAGCCTGAGACTGAGCGCTGGGGTGTCTTCTGCCTGCATACCCGCAGGACCACAGCAGCAGCTGTTGGGCGTGAAAGCCAGGAGCATTTTAACGTAGTAAAGGAGCTCTCTGTCCCTGACCCAGCTCTCAGGCCTGCCGCACCCTGAGCACCCCTCACCCGGAGGAGTGCCAGAGCCCCTACCAGCAGCTGCTTCTAAGCCACTGTGCAGACAGGAAGCAGGGCCGCAGCAGGCCTGAGTGCTCCACTGTCCCCACGGAAGGCATCCATTGAGGCAGCGGGACCAGCCTCAGCTCTCACATTTCGCCGCAGCCTTGTTCCACGCCACACTGTTTCCTCCGGCCACTGTGGGGTCGCTACGCGACCTGCAGAGCTCGCTGAGGCCCAGGCTCCTGCAGCTCCCGCCGAAGACTCAAAGCCAGCGTGGACATAAAAGCCGGGGGCAGGACCCCGGTGAGGCCTCGGTTCCCTTCTTGGGGGTTCTCAGCCTTGGCCCAGAAGCCTCAGCCCGGGTCTAAGAACTTGGGACTCCCTCCTCGACGACGGCGGTCGGCCGGGTCATCCGGCTGAGGGCCTCAGCGGCAGCGGGCAAAACTCTAGTAGGAGTCGCTTGCCGAGGGCGTGTTTCGACGTCAGAGCCAAACTCCGGGACAGACTAGCCAAGCGCGGAGGGCGCGAGAGTGGCTGGCAGCGCCAGTACGCAGCCTGGGTTCAGAGCAGGGCTGGGCGTTCTCAGCAAAGGGCGGCCTGGGGCTGCGCGGTCGGCGGGCGGCGCGCGGCGGGCGGGAGAGGGGCGAGGTGCGCCAGGCTCTGGGGCGCGCAACCGCCCAGCCTCGTGAAAGATCGCGCCGCAGATGGGACGCAGCTGCACGCTCACTCGTATGGACTGGAAACACTCCGAGCCCGTTATTTTAAAAACGGGGAAATAAGGCGGGTTCCCTCTTCGTCCGCCACTTCCCACAGAGTAGGCTGCGCGGCCCTGGGGGCTGATTGTCCCCAAGCAGCCAGGCTCCACCGCCGCGCTGCGCGGAGGTCCGCTCTGCCGCAGGGACGCTGGCCACCCGTCCAACACCGGCCGGCGCGCCACAGGCGAGCGGCCGCCAGGATCTCTACCAGGCTCTGCTCGCACCTGCCTGCCTACCTACCTTTCGTCTGGCCTGTCCTCCGCTCAACTGAAATCGTTAATTTTCTTATCCCCCTTGTTCTCATTTTGATATATTCCACGCTTTAAACATGCTCCGTTTTGTTTGGTCTGCTCCCTCCCTCTTTGTCCTTTTACCCTTCTCTAGTTATCCGTTTCGTTCGATCTTGCTCCTGCTTTTTTTCTTCGTTCGTTCCTCATTTATTCTTTTCAGTTCATCCCAGCTCGCCCACTGCCATTTACCCTCTCGTTCCCGCCGCGCTCTCTGTTGTTTTGTTCAATTTCTCTTCCCCTTTTCTTGGTTGTTGTTCGCTTTCTTTGGTTTTCTTTCTCGGTATTTCGTTGTCAAGGACACCCTTGCCGTCGGATCCCAGGGTGCTGGGTTCCTCCCGGCCGCTCGTTCCCCACCAGCGCTCTCTGCAGTTCGCGCGGCACCGGTGTGGTACGGGAGCCCGAGCGGTCGGTGCCGGGTGCGGGGCGCCTAACAGGGACGCGGACCCGGTGGGGGTGGCTCCTGCCTGACACGGAGCGCTGAGCCAGGCCGGGTACCTGTCCCTGGCGGTGCTCACCGCGCTGCGCGGCCGCTGCAGTCTGGCTGGGATCAGAGGAGCCAGGCCAACTGCTTCTCATTAAGTCCCAACTGTGGTTTTTATCAGGAGAGCCTCTTTCAAAGGGCACAGACACGAAACTCCGCGGACTCCTTCATTTCCTCCGTTGACCCCCACACACCTCCCCGCCCTCCCCGACACATTCCCACCGCCCCGGCTGGGCGAAAGCTGGAGATGCCCGGCCACTCCGTGGAGGCCCGCGAGGCGCCAGCCGGGCGGCGGCAGGGGGCTGAAGCGGATCTTGGAGGATCCAGCTCTGGGCCTAGGCTGCGGGATATGGCAGCGCAGCTAAGGTAGGTGCGGTTTGGGCGTCGAGACGCCTTACAGGTCACAGGGTGCGGCGGACGGTGGCAGAGCTGCCCATCAGCCTGCCAGGCCCCTGCCTTCAGGCGCATTCTCGGGTGCCGGCGCAGTTCGGCCGGCCTTAGCACAGGGCACCAGCCCGGGAGCCCGCGGCGCCTGGGGGTTAGGTTGCCCAGAGCTGCTCCTGACTGCCCAGCGGTGATGATCCAGTGCAGGGAAGCCAAGACTGCCAGAAGGGCGGCTATCATCGTGCATAACGGCAGGGAGGCCAGCTTAGTATGAGAAATAAGAATAGTTATTCCGTCTTGAGGACAGCCCTGGCATTGCACGACCAGTCGCGGCCAAACTGTGCCAGTCTGCCGCACAGGCAGCACCCTTCCTGGGAAGAATAGGCCCAGGGAGGAGAGGCGGGCCAAGGCCAGGCCGCAGTCCCTAGCCTACCCCGATTTGGCCACTCTAGGTCGAGGCCCAGCCTCAGGGCCCTCAAAGGGCGCCAGACACAAAAGCCGCGCTTCTTCGTCAGGTCTCAGTGTGGCTCCACAGCCCTTGGCCCGGTCTGGGCTTCGGGGTAGGTGGCAGTTCCAGTCCAACTTCGGCAAAGCATGCTCTCTCCTTCCCAGGTCCGGCTGCTTTCGGGCCCCGACTGGACCCCGGGCCGTCGCCACTGCACCTTCCCTCGACCTCCCGCCTCCCATTCCCGCCGCCGAGGAACGGTGGTTCAGCCTCCCGCCCCGCCCTGGCCTTTGCCTGACCCGGGCCAGCGCCAACTCAGCTTCCGTGGGAGCCGTGGCGAAAGGCGAGAGAGGCAAAAAGTTGAGAAATAGGCTAGCGGGAGAGATAAGCAGGAAGGCCCGGGTGGGCCCGGGTAAGGAAGAAGGAGAGAGGGTCGGGCTGCGCGCTACGCCCCTCGCCGCGCGTTACCTTCCGCGGAGCCCTCGTAGAAGTGGCCGCCGTTGAGCGCCGGGCCGAGCCCAAGGTCCTGCAGGTACTTGGCGGGCGGCTTGGCCGGCTCTGGGAGGTAGGGCTCCAGGGTCCCGCAGGCCGGAAAGCGGGTCAGCCGCGGGCCGCGGGGCGGCGCGGGGTGCAGGTGAGGCGCAGCGGCTGGGGTTCCCTGCGGGCCCGGAGGCTCGTCCCCCGAGGCCACATAGGGGCCGGGTGCAGGCCCCACGCGGAAAGGCGCGCAGTGCTCGGGGTCCATGCCGGCTCAGGGCACACAGGCCTCCGGGGCTCGCGTTGCCCGCGCGGCCTGTGAGCGCCCGCCAAGGGGGAGGGACCTGGGCGCGGGGGCGCGGAGCCCCCGGGAGCGGCGCGCGCCGCGGGGGGCGGGGGGCAGGCGAGGGGGCCGCGCCTCTGACTTAATGCTGGAACCATCCACGTCACGTGTGGCCCGGTGCGGGTTAACCCCTCGGAGCCCGGGAACCCCCTCCCCCCATTCACCCAGAGCCCAGTCCCAGGCAGCTCTGGAGAGGATGAAGCAGCCTCCTCTCTAAGGCGGAATCCCTTTGTCTACCCATCCAGGTGAGTCTTTTGCTCAGAGCACACCCGTGGTCCTGATATCCAGCCTAGAGGCTCTTGCCCCTAGAGGGGTGAGGCCGTGTGGGCATCCCCCCCAAACACTTTTAGGCCTGGACTCCGGACATCAGCCTGGAATGAGAGCCTGGGCAGGCAGGCCTTAGGCTGCAATTTTACCTAGGTCTCCACTGGGAGCTGGATAAAATGTTGCCTCAGCAAAAAAACACCTCCCTTAGAGATCTCTTGTTTCTCACAGTGAAAGGAGCTATTGGGAGTGTTGTGTGGAAGCAGATCTCAGCTGGGAATGGGGTGCTGGGGAGCTTGGGCCTGGACACTATCGTTCATTAGCTATGGGTCCTTGAGCCAATCATGAGTGTCCTCATCTGACTGTGGAGGTCGGGCCAAGCCAACTCTGGGTCTTTCTATGTATTTGAGGTGTGTTTCAGAAGTAGAGGCAGGGCCAGAGCAGACAGGAGACTCCCACTGGCAGCTCAGGACTGAACAGTGTCCTGCCGGGGCAGCCTTTGGAACAGGTGGAGGATGAGCAGAAGGGCTGGTGTTTCCTCTGGCAGCAGCTTGGAGTGAATGCCTTTCAATGGGCAGATGACCCAAGTGTCTGGGGATCCACTGGAGAGACTGTCTGCAGCTCAGACCTCAGGGCTGTGCTCCCTCAGGCCTGACGATTCAGAAGGGGTGAGAGTAGAACTGCATCTTCTAAGAGTTGAGCCTCCCCAGCCAAAAGGAAACAGGATTAGAGCAGTAGCTTAGAATTTTGGAAAAGAGAAATAACCACCACCCTACCTAAGATCTGGGGAGAAACACCCAAGGAGCCGAGGACCCTGCTCGCTTCCCATGGATTGAGGAGCCTGTAGGGCTGGGTTAAACTGTTTTATTTTCAATGCCCCCGAGACTAGCAAGAGAGGTGGAGAGTCAACATCATTTGTATTTCATTTGAATTCTCAATTTTTAAAGGAATCCAAGAGTCCTGGTGTGAACACCTCCCTCTTCCGCTGGGGGCTTAGAAGGGGTTTCTTGGCTCCTCAGCCAGAGTTGGGCTGTAAATCAAGACCAAACAGGAACCAGAAGCCTTGCATCTCACAAGGAGTCATTAAGCCGTTATTAAACATACCATAACTTCTCTGAAGCCTTATTGGTTTCAACACCACATTGGAGGCATTATGGCCATTAGGGCCCCTAATCACGGAATGCAGACTGGCCAGAGAGATGGGAGCACCTGGGACTGGTATTTCTAGTCAAGAGGGAGGTTTGACTTGAAATTAAGCTTCCCTTCTGGCCTCACCAGAGGGATCCTTTCTCCAGGATCTAGTGGATCCAGCTCTGGGCAACCAATTTCAATCGATCACCTTTGCCCATTAATAAGGTTTTTCAATAGTTGTTGATTGGATATCTTTTTTTTTTCTCTCTCTCTCTCTCTTGCCTGTACCTGTGAAATTGGATATTGTTGACTTTCTAGGAGGAAGTCAATTCAGAATACCTATTCTATTCAACAGAATTATCAAGCAGTTTACTGTGGAGGATGCAAATATCACCCAGGAAAATGTCACCAACAATTTAAACAAGGCAGCCTGAATCAAAGGCTGAGTCTTTGTCTCCCATGACAACCTTGCTGAGCCTCAGTTTCCTCATCATAAAGGTGGGCCACACATGGAAGTAGGATATTTGCAACACATTCGTGTTTTGATGCACTGTATTAATTTAACAGATGGTGGATGATTACCATCTCCAGTGGGTTCCATCACTGATTAGGTAGAAAGCTTCTGACTTCAGACTGAATGGGCCTAAGGCTGGAGCTGAGCAGAGAGATGCAAGGACCTGCATCCACTTTCAAGCCCAGAAGTTTCTCTTGACATGCTCCCACTCTCTGAACAGAGCCAATTTCCATGCTGGGATGGTGTTACCAATTAAACTGAAGAGAGAGAAAACCCTAGACTACATGGGAGTTTTGTGGGTAAGTGGAGTTGCCCCTCCTGGGAGAGTTTTCTTCCAAAACCACACAAATCAGCACACTAGGAGGAGACTTCCACTGTCTTTTAAGCCATTTATGCAAACTTTTATCTATCTCTGTGTGGTCTGGAAAGAGTTTGATGGAGCAGGTGCATAGCAACTCAAAAACAGCAATCTCAGACTTAATAAATTTTCCTTCTTAGGGAGGCTGGGAGATCATGGAGTGCCACAAAGGCCCTCATATTACAGGTAAAAACAACAGCTAACACATATATCTACAGTGTGCTGGGTGCTAGCTCATGTATTCTACATACATTGTTTTATTAATTTTTATTTTATTGTATTTTTTTAGATGGAGTCTCAGTTGCCCAGGCTGGAGCACAGTGGCCATGATCGCAGCTCACTGCAACTTCCGCCTCCCAGGTTCAAGCGATTCTCCTGCCTCAGCCTTCCAAATAGCTGGGATTACAGGCATGTGCCACCATGCCTGTCTAAGATTGGTTTATTTAATCCTCACAGCTCAATGAAATAGGTACCCTGTTTTCTAGAGAAAGAGCCTGAGGCCAGGAGGGAGCCATTTGTTCAGGCACAAATGGGGTTTCTTGGCTCTTTTGTGCCAGTTTGTGCCAGAACCAGAATTTATACTCAGATCCACGGTCCCCCACTCCGCATGACTCCTCAGTCCTTCTTTAGTTAACGAAGCTGAAATCTTCCACTGTGCACCCTCATTTTCCCAAGGAGAAAGCTGGGACTCCTCCCGGAAAGGAAGGCTGAGGCCAGAGTGGCCTGAGGACACTGCACTGCTGCTTTCACGATCAGCAGATGACATCTGTCGAGACTCACATGCCTAGCTTCGGCCGCTGGTACAGTAGGTGGAGGGTGGTTTCTGCTAAGCTGAGACCAAATGAAACAGAGTGCTTAACACTTGAGAGGTTTATGACCAACACAGCCAGATGTGGGGCAGAATTTCAAGATAATTTATGAGTTCACCATTCATGCTGTTTAATAACCAATTGAATTATAACAGCATTTGTCACTGAAAAATTGTCCGTGGAGTAAGAGATGAGTGGATGGCAAAATCCAGATAATTCCAGGCCCTATAATGAAAAAACTGAACAAAACCCCTCTCCATCTGCTGAGAAGAGCTACCTTTTAAATGGAAATGATACTTACTAGCTGTTTTACACTGGCTGAATGCTTAATTCATTCATTTAATAGGAGAGCCTACCATGTGATCCCCATTTGCTGGTACCAGGATACAGTGGCACACACGACATGTGATCCCTGCCTTCACAGTGCTTACACTTTGCTGGAATGGAAGTGTCTCATCCACATTGAAGAAAATCATCATTTGGATGTGAATTAGAGTAAAATCTGGTCTTGTGAGAAGAGTTTCTGGCTCTGGGCCTCAACTGTAAGGTCAATTCTTCATTTAGAGAAACATCAGCCACGGCACCACATTCCCTTTCATTCTCTACTTCCCTCAGCCTGCACCACAGGAAGGACAATGCGCTCCTCTCCCCCGCAGTGGATTTCCAGAAGGGATCGGCACGATGAGAAAGAGGTAACCTCAGATCTGAGATTTGCTTGACATATACAAAACTTCTTTCCGACAGGGAAAACTCAGTTGCTTTTTTTTTCCTTCAAAGGAAAGACAGTTGGTATTATGTTTGTCCTGTTTAGATACTGAAATCCTAAATTGATTCATATAAAAATTCTGGGTTTGGGAACCCAAGAAGATTGTTTCTCATTAGTGACATTCTTCCTGGAAGGTCAGGCTGAGGAATGGTAAATAAACCTGTGGATCTGGTGCTTCCTCCTCACTCATGATGAGAGAGAGTGAGAGAGCGAGAGGGAGAGCGAGAGCGGAGAGGAGAGGAGGAGAAGAGAGGAGAGAAGAGAGGACAGAGGACGGGAGGAGAGAAGAGGGGAGGGGAGGGGAAGGGAAGGGAGGGGACGGAAAGGAAAAGAAAAGAAAAAAACTTTGTGTTGTAGACACCCAGACTCCTTGGCTGTGATTCTAACAACCCAGGCTGAAGTCTGCTTTGGAGTAAAATTTCTGGGAAGTTTTTTCTCTTTCATTGATGTGATCTGATTCATTGGGAAAGACACTTAACCTCTCTGTGCTACAGGTTCTTATGCGAAAATGGGAAGAAATGGTTCTGTACTCCAGCTTTGTGGGAATGAATGTGATAGGAATGATACACATGTTTCTTGAGCCTGAATTCACCACTGATCCTATGGTTTTCTGCTCATTCTCTCTGCCCAGCTCACTGAGATTGGGTTGTAATGGAGGGAGGGGCCAGAGAGGCGGAGCTGTGTCTCTTCTGTGGTAGACCTGAGTTTGACCTGTTGCCTTTGTGTGAAGGTGAATAGATTCTGTGGCAAGTGCTGGCATGGACCATAGAGAAGTCATTTTGTAAAAGAGTTTTTTTTTTTGTTTTTTGAGATGGAGTCTCGCTCTGTTGCCCGGGCTGGAGTGCAGTGGCGCAACCTTGGGTCACTGTAACCTCTGCCTCCTGGGTTTAAGCAGTTATCCTGCCTCAGCCTCCTGAGTAGCTGGGATTACAGGCATGCACTACCACACCCTGCTAATTTTGTATTTTTAGTAAAGACAGGGTTTCACCATGTTGTCCAGGCTGGTCACGAACTCCTGACCTCAGGTGATCCACCTGCCTCAGCCTTCCAAAGTGCTGGGTTAACAGGTATGAGCCAGCACGCCCAGTTTTGTAGAGGAGTTTTTGATGAACTATTTCTTGATATAAAACAGACCCTTCTGTTTTAGGTTAGACTTTTTGGCAATTTTAACAGTTTGATTAATTTTTGTGCATTCCTTTATTCACCAAGCATTTATTGACTGCCTGCCATGTGCCAGATAGTGGGGTCACACAGTGAGACCAGATCCTGAGAGAGCACCACTTACTCCCAGGGCTTTTCCAGATAGCAGAAGAAAGACACAAAGCAACAGGCATTTACGCCATGGAGTGTGACTGTGCTGAGGGTGGGAGAGCACAGGGGGCCTGGGAGCTAGGAGAAGGGCAGCTGTCCCAGCTTTGGGCTGGAGGCAGCTGGTCATGGAATGCTTTAAGTTTGAATCTGGGAATCTGGAAAGTTGAGTGGGGGGTGCCTGGGTGGAGGAGTACTAAGGGGCAGAGAGAGAGGGCATTCCAGAGACAATGGCCCAAGAGGGAAAGCGAGGAAGCCAAGCTCAGGGAACTCAATTTGTTGAATATTCCTGGAGCCTGGAGAAAGAAGAGAGGTTGGGGTGGGAAAAGAGAGACAAAGTCCACAAGAATCTAGAGACTAAACTCCGGGGTGGGGAGAATGGCACTATAGGCATTGGGTCTGCAGTGTCTGCCAAGCACAGCTTGAAGTACCGACTCACTAGTGGGAGATACAGAGGAAGCCCCAGGCCCAGGGAAGCACCCCTACTCTAAAGGGGGGACCCAGGACCCACACCAACAGGATACATTAAGAAAATACAAAAACAAGAACACCTCCAGGAAGAACAACAGAAAGCACGTTTGTTTGCTGGGAGTCACGAGGTGGAGAATTGAATGGATAGGGCAGAGACGAGTGACGTGGGCAGGGCGGTGCAGTCTATGAGGCCTTTTGTAGCCGTATTTTGACTCTTACAGGGAATGCTGGCTAGGGCACCCCTTGAACTCATTTCACCAGGAAATCCATTGGTTCCAGAGTGCAGATTCCAGATTTGTTATTTTACAGAGCTAATAAGTATGTAATTATCACATTTGGAGCCTTTCAAAGGAAATGCAAACACACACCACTGAACACCCTGAAAAATGTGAGTGAAACCCACTCCAGAGTTCTGGAAGGAGCTCCTCACCATGTCACACAGAAGCATCTACCCCAGCCCAGGGTCTGCTCCTACACTGGCGGAAGAGAGAGGAGGGAGATTGGGCCTGAACTTTACAAGGAACTGAAAGAAAAACAAGATAAGAGGGTAGAAGGGCCTCTGCCCAGCTTCCAGACTCCTCTGGAGTCTCCAGGGAAGGAGAGGTAGAGGGTAGGTAATAATGATAAAATCTACTATTTACAGAACACTTACCATGTGCCAGGAAAACACCATCTCATCTAATCTTTACAGTGTTATAAAGTTGGTGTTCATATTCTCATTTTACAGATGAAGAAACTGAGATTGGACTGCGTGTTAGTTGTCTAATGCTGCATAACAAATCACCCAAAACACAGTGATTAAAACAACAATAGGCAGTGACTGTGGGTCAGGGATTCAGGAGCAGCTTGGCTGATTCAGGTTCTGGCTTGAGGTCTCTTAGGACGGCAAGTTAAATCTTGGCTGGGCTACAGGATTCTGCAGGCTTGACTGGGCTTGGAGGACCTGTTTCCAAGGTGGCTTGCTCACATGGTTGGCAAGTTGGTGTAGGCTGTTGACTGGAGGCTTCCATCCTTCTCCACGTGAGTCTCTCCCCAGGGCTGACTGAGTGTCCCCACCACCTGGTAGCTGGCTTCCCCCACAGCAAATGGCCCAAGAGAGCAAAGTGGAAGCTGCAGTGCTGTTTATGGCCTGGCCTTGACTCAGTCACCAGTACTGCTGCCATAGTCTGCTGGTCACACCGGCCGGCTCTACTTTAGCACGAGAGAGAGGATTATACAAGGTGAGGCCCCTTGAAGGTCATCCTAGAGGCCGGCTACTGGTTCAGAAACTCCCCCGTATCCCACCACGGATAAGTGCTGCTGGGATTCAAATCCAAGTGGCCTGACTTCAAGGGCAAGGTTCTAATGCTAATTATTGGGTCAGGAGTGGCTATCTTGATGGGTTAAGAGGAGTCAAAGGTTCACAACTGTCACAAATAATTACTGGGCAATGACAGTCATGTTGCCTATCCTGAGAAAGACTGGGGAGACCCTGGAATTGGACCAAGGTGTGTCCTGGCTTTCTCTACGCCGTGGCTGTTCGGCTGTCATAGCAGGCAAACTCCTGGAGGGCTCCCTCAGTACTGAGAGCTGACCTCAGGGGTGCTTCAGGTCTTTCAGTTCATCTGGGAAGAGGAAGGAAAACCTACTTACCTTTTCTCTGTGCTTTTCAGAGGAGAGCTATGAGAAGTGCGTTAGGATTCCGTATTTGCTCTGCTGTTAGCTTACCAAAGGGAACCCTGGCCTTAGACCTTGAACTGAATGACAGGGAAGGGAGATGTTGTTGAGAGCCCACCATAAGTTAGGTCTGAACTGGTCACTCTCATTTTAAAATTTCATATAATTATGTTAGGAGGTAGCTATTATTATTTCAATTTTACAGATGAGGATACAGAACTCAGGAAATTAAGCAAACTGTCCAAAGTGTCATACTCCTCCTAAATGACTGAACCAGGAGGGACCTCAGGCAGGTGGCCTAGTAGACTT